CCCTGAGTTCATGGAATCTCAGCCTTGAGGACAATGCTGATTTGAAGAGGACGGGTTTGTTAGGACTCTAGCTAGGAGAGTCCTAATTAAGAGGGACATTCTGTTAGGACTCTGTTAGGACTCTAGCTAGGAGAGTCCTAATTGAGAGGGACATTCTGTTAGGACTCTAGCTAGGAGAGTCCTAATTGAGAGGGACATTTATGTAGGAGGTTTTTTTCTTAGAGAAGAATTAGGAGTTGTAAGGGAATAGGAGTCTTGAGTAGGAGTCCTATTAGGAGTTGGTTAGAAGTAAGAGTCTTAAGTAGGAGTCCTATTAGGAGTTAGGGTTTAGAAGCCCTATAAATAGCCATGTATTCTTTCTCTTTTGATAAGCAATAGATGAATCTTTTCTGCAGCCTTTGAGCAGCAACTTGGAGGGAGGAACCCCTATAAAGTTCCAAGGAGGCCGATCCCCTAAAGAGATCAACCCCAAGTTTAGAATCTGCAAGGGTTCTAACACACTAATAATTTTATGGACAGGAAAGTTGTAGCCCAATTAGCCCACCACATTGAAGGTTGTGATATATTCGAAGCTGATGGACGGATTTTAACTTATGATAGCAAAGGCCAGGAATTTCTTGCAACGATTACTACACTGAAAGATCGACCTATTGCTTACACTGTAAAAAAGTGGAGGTAATACTTAATTGATCAATGGGTTATAATGCGTTGCAGATAGCCTATGACTGCAGTGCTAAAAGACAAGCTCCCCGAGATTGATGCTGCTCAGCCTTGAGGACAAGGCTGATTTGAAGAGGGAGGAACTGTTAGGACCCTTTTTCTGAGCTTTTGAATAATGTTTATTGAGTTTGTTTAGTCCATTTGTTTATTGAGTCGGTTTGGTTCAATTAGAGTCAAATAGAGGTTTATCTAATATTTATTTATTATTAGAGTTCAAGTCCTGATGGACTCTGGGTGGAACTCTATAAATAGGGATGTAACTGCTTCTTTTCAGTAATCTATGAAAAATACTATTTTTGTCTTTTGACAAACCCTAGGAGGCCGATCCCCTCGAAGCGATCAAGGAGGGCCGATCCCCTCGAAGTGATCATCCCCTTTCTCTTCTTCTTTTTTACGATAAGACTTTAGGGTCTTATCAAAGTGCTAGCTAACCAATGCTTGGGAGGGAGATGATTGAAAATCCTGGTCACTCATTTCAAGTACCCAATATATAGATACTTGTCATTTTTTTCATCACAACCATAACTAGAGATGGCAGCAATTTTTTTCTTTTTTCTTGTACCTGTCCCTAGTCGATCTGTTTCAGCTAAATTAAGGTACCCATTAAGTGAGTTTTAAACGTATATTGGTAATATGAACTTAAACATTTGGATTATGGTTTATACTTTCTTGAACCAATCAGACCAGTACATCTCAGTTGGCATTTACCGGTCCACCATGAACCGATAACAGGCCATACAGCTTGATTCTGCTTGGTATATAACTTTTTTATTATTTTCTCCATGATTCCATGCGATACAAGTTAATTTATTGCTCGGAATCTCAGTACCATATTATACAAATTAGCAGAACCAGTGTCAAATTGATATTTAAAACCTTCAGTAGGATACTCCCACCCAAATTCATGCATTGTTTGTTTAGCATAAAAACAAGAATTGCAACTTGTGATTGTGTGACAACAGCTCATTTTTAGCATTCATGTTGTCCTCATTTTTAGCTAGTATGCTGATAATCAAATTTTATAACAAGTGCAGGTACTGAAATTAATTTTTAAATGGTTGGGATGGGTTCACAAACTAGCATAGTTAGCCAGGTTCAGGAATTAAAAGAGTGAAACTCATGCATAACCTACTCATTCCCTTTTATATGTTCAATGACTAAATCATGAAAATTTTGGAAAATCTTCTCCCAAAATTTATATCTTGCAATCGACCAAAACACAGAAAATGAATCAGCAAATGTTGGGCACAAATAAAAGTAGCCTGGCTAAAATTATAATTGAAAGCAACGTTTTGCACTGGCCAGTATGGCCTGGTCTGGTACAACAGCTTACTGGTACACAGACCAGGATAGCTCCATGTTAACAGTCACAATAGATGAAATGGGTTACCAAGAACAAGTTGGATGACTCAAGGGAAGCAAAAAGCAGGTGAAGTGGGGTCAGGCATGATGGACAACCGATAAAATGATTATTCAACACTTGGTGACCATGATGACAATGTTGATAATATGACCAATAAGACACAAGATTGGTAGTGGTTACAGAATGGGATCCATCTATATCACTTATTCATTCACTATCCAAAGAGAAAAGCTATGCAAGCCTGCTTGCATATTTGCATGTGTTTAAAAAAGATCCCTGCAGTCGAAATGCTTTGATATTGAAATGAAAATTACATTACACTTCATAGAGATATATTTTCAAAATTAATCAAATATTACAATAAATATATAAACAAAAGGCAACAAGGAAAAGGCATAAAAGAGGCAACAGACAACCAAAAGAAAAGGTGATGAAGGATAATCTTCTAGATAGAACCCTCCAAAAAAGTATATCAAAGTTGCTTCAAAACCTAAATATTGGTTGGAAATTAAAGTTACAACAACAACAACAAGCCGTACTGGAATTTGAAGTTAGATATACAATAAAAATGAAGAGCCATGTTAAAATTTACCTCCTTGGTAGTTAAGATATTTGCACCTTTAATATCTCGATGAATTACACCTTGTTCATGCAAATAGACTAAACCCTCCAGTACCTACTTATAGTAAACACAAATGCAATATCAGGACCATTTTCGTAAGGCAAAAGAAAGGGAAATAGAAATCTCAAACAGACCTGAGCAATGTAAACAGCAACCAAAGATTCAGGGAATGGTCCAAATTTGTTGGGTTTAATAATATTAGCAAGAGAGCCATTTTCCACATACCTACATGCCGTCCACCAAGTAAATGATAACAACAAAGACAGACTCTACTCCACTGACACAGGATGGATGAAAGAAGAGATTCATAAATAATTACTCGAGTATGATGTGCAGATGAGTCTTCGTCTTGATGGACCCAAGATATTTTACAATGTTTTTGTGGTTGAGATTCTGCATGTGAAAAATGACTTAAGTTAAATAGAAATCACTTGTATCTACATTATTTGAGAAAAGCTGGAAAGCTCATATTTTCCAAATTAATTATCTAAAATAGTCATCGACATGCATGTATAACATACTCATTATGCCTTTTTTTTCCAATTAGTGTCTGTTAAGATATTGGCAAATAATTAGAAATGCACCAATATCCTCCATGAAGAAAAAATGCCGATCCACAAAAATAGATGGCTGCAATTTTATGCTAGTGTGTGCCACCGGATACAACATGACCAATAAGTGCATGTCCTTGTAACATGGATTGAGTTTGAGCTTACATACTACACAGTATGGAGTGACAGTCCAGCACACATCTCACCCAAGGGTGGTTGTAAGCCAGCAGATAACATGGTAAAAACATAAATCAGACTGTGACAACCATGGCCAATTACATGCTCAATTTGGAGCAAAAGTGACATGACATCAGTCAGAGGTATAGGAACACACATCCCGGGAGAACATAAATAAACTAAATTTCACAGTGAATGACGTAAAGCTTAAAAGGGAAGTACCAAGCAAAGGTTTGTGGAAGCTGTTAGGAAGGAACTAGAAGATCTTAAAACAGGACCATCCCGTGTCTAAAGGAATGGTTGGAAGTAAGAATTTCCCAAGACCTGTATCTAATGTGCTAGATATGTCTTTCTGGCCATGGTTATGATTTTAATAAAAAACCGATTTACAGTATTAACTAGAAACAAAGCCATTTATGAAGTCATTAAAAACTCATGACTTAACAACTAGTGAATGTTTAAATCACCAAAAGAAAAAAGAAAATATAGTGTTACCTTTAGCAGATCAATTTCTTGCTGAATCATGAAATGTGACGCAGCCCAGAAAATTTTGAAAAAGAAAGGAAAGAGAAAATATTAGATGATACCCATGCAATAAGCAGCATATTCAATAAATGATTCAAAAGACAACACAATGTTGTTGAATAATAAAACACAGAATCATGTAAAGCATCTAGAATGTTTAGTTAGATACTACAAACATGTGATATTGTAAGGAATTCACATTATTGTCCAGAAAACACCACAAAACTAGTATCTTAATTATGCAACTGAAGCCATAAAGCAGCACATCATTAAACAATAATCAAAACCTGAAGTTAACATAATCTTGAAAGAAAGTAAAAGAAGTTTTCAGAACAAAAGACTATTTGATTTATCTTCACAACTTAAAGTAACCTTTTGAAACTGAAAGCCAAGGTAAAACATAATTATATATAGTTCCAAGGACAAAAGCATCCATCCAATATAATGCTAGTAAACAATATGTATCAAATCATCAGCCACAACACTATGTATCAGTGAAATCGGGTGCTCGAGCAAGGCGAGGCAAGGCCCGAGTGCCTCATAATTAGTCCAGGCAAGCGCTTTCAATCGAGCACAGTCCAGGTGCCAGGCGACCCAAGAGCCTGCCTAAGGCATATTGAACCAAGGTTGAGCATAATCTAAACAGGCTCGATCATTGATTTGGTTCGATCACCTCCACACCCTTCCCCTCACAGACACAAACCACTGTCCTATTGGAAGACCTAGTGGACGAACTATGTGGTGGTGATTCTTCTCCATCGACGAACTATCACGTCCTTAGCTGGGATTGCCTAAGGTGTAGGACACCCAAGCGATATGCGTCCGCAAGGGTCAGCCTAGACCTTAAACTTGTGCAGTCCATAAAGGACCTGCACAACGAATGAGAGGGTAGAAAGGTGATCGTTCAGGTAATTTGTCGCTGTCATGCATGAAAAAGGCAAGATAACTGAGATCCAAAGAACCACAAAGAAACCAGCTTTTATTAGGCTCGAAAGGGTCTCGAAAGCAAGCTGAACAAGTGCACACAAAAAGGGTTCCGAAGGTAGATGCAGGCCTAATGTTCACCTACACTTTCATTGAACAGAAAGCGGGCACACTAAAGACATTGCAACACCCCTCAAACACCTACCCAAAGCCTCATCTGCCCCGTTGCCACATGGGGGATTCCAAGGTGTTGAGACAGCTAACGTTTCATGCTGCTAGGCCGCCAACCACAAATCAACCCGTGGCATGTGAAAACAATGCAGTTTTGGGCCATTTTCCCTTCCCGCAACGCCGCACAGCCAAAAAAGCATGATTAAAACATGAAACAAAAACACCGACAACAAACAAAAATGAGGCTGACTACATTGTTTTCTACCTTGTATAAGCTATCTACAAGAAAACACCAAAAACACAAAGAAAACAACAGGATACAAGAACCGAAAAACAATCGTGGACAGGGGTCAAACACCTTATCTACGTTGCTCCATGACATTCTCCCACACTTATTCCTTTGACGCCCTCGTCGAAGCCTTCTTGTCCACCAAAGATTGATCATCCTCTATTGCAACTTGTTTCTCAGCTTCCTCGAGTTGTACTCCTTGCTCCGAGTTGATTACTTGACTTCGCCCACTATTCACCATCACACTTTTGGAGTACGAGAAGTGTTGCTTGAACCTGAGCCAGGTTTCACCCTTGTAGAGTGCTTGTTTGGTAGCTTTGGTTGCATCGTTGGGATCAACCATGCCCTAGTTGCGGCTAGAAATGTGCTCTCCCTCCCAGAGCACAAGTTTGGTCAGCACTTGGAGGACCCGCCCCTACGTTACCATGCCTCGTCTCTTGATCTTTGTGACCTTCAATCCGACGGTTTCTCAACCAAGTTCGTTTTGGGCAGTTGAGTCCCTCATGCACTCGAAGTCGTTGCAACGCCTTGTCTCTCTTAATCAACTACTTCTGTACACCTTGTGACTTAGGAAGCATTTCCCTCCTGATCTTTTGCCAATTAGATTGTTGAAGGGTTCTTGTTAACTTTGATTCTTCAGTTGTTTGCTTGGCACTAATGATTGCTCGCCCGATCTTGCCCCTCGAAAGAACCATGTTACCCACAAGCGAAGATAAGCTATGGATTAATCGGTCATCCAGTAACTAGTTTGAGAGGTCCCAAAGATTCACCCACTCTGAAAATGATGCCCAATGTGGAAGCTCGATTGGATTGTCGACTCCTTCACTGAGTTCGAATTACCATTCCACCTTGTGCTTTCGTGGAAAGGGCTTTAGTAATTGAGATCTTGGAACACTTACATATAGTTCAAGTGCATTCACCTTAATGGACACTTGCCCCACGCTGAGGCCTTCTAACTCCAATTGCATCGCTGTGGGATGAGTAAGGTCTTCCCGCCTCGATTCTTTCATCACTTCACAGTTGAGAGTATATATGTGTCTTTCGAAGATCTCTTCGAACGTGCCACCATGTATGGAGAGTCACCATCTATCAAAAATAGAGTTAAAGAACAACAAAGGTACTGCTTTCGCCTCTTATAAAAACTCCACCCGAAGGACGACTTGGAAATCATCCAAGGGAAGTGCCATGACGTTGGTGCTCCCACTTCAATCTCCAAATTCGATGTCGACTCCCTTCGCCAAGATTCGTAATTTCGTACCGTATCAGCGTATCGAACTCAACTCGGTACGGTACGATACGAGCATACCGCTCAGTATATATATAATAATAAAATAAAGTTAAAAAATAAAAAAAGGGCGACGCCATCGAGGCAACGTCGCCTCATTTCTTCTCCTCGCGTCCCACACGGATGAGAAGTCACTGACAACGCCGAGGCCTCGTCGCCTCAAACGAGGAGGAGGCAACATCTCATCTGCAGCGTACGATAAGGGAGCACAGCGACGAATCAGGATTGTCGAGTGAGAGCAACGTCGGATCTCCAGGTTCTCCCTTTTCTTCTCCCTCTTATTCCTTCTCCCTCAATTAATACCGCTTGGTAGCGGGCGACAACGTTGAAATCGATTGTTACTGATTGATTTCAGGCGATAATGGGGCGAAAACAGCCCCAATCGACGGTATCGTCCGGTAGTAGGCGATCCGCGTACCGGTCTGCTAGCGGACCGGTACGTACTGCCTGATACAAGTGGTATCATTTGAAATTAAAATCCTTGCCCTTCGCCAATCCAGAGATAGGCTTCGCCTTCGAATTAACTGTCTTCATTCGACTCGGACTTTTTGCTAACTTCAATCCGAGTCACTTTGCCTCTCGGTTCGTTATGAAGTTGTGTGGTTCCTGTGACCACCAATGTGCAAGTTGCCTTCACGTTCACCTTGATGTCCACGAACATCAACAGGTTGTCATGTGCCTTTGCGTGTCTTTTGGCATTGCCTTAGATCGCTCCCCCACTTGACCTCGTAGTGCATTCAACTACTGCATCGCCTCAATACGAGATCGTTGTAGTGATCCTCCATCGCTACTCGACTCCGACAAACTCGAGCTTGAGGAGTCGATCTTCTTCCTTGGCCTATACTTCGGCATCTCCCAGACTTCACCTTGCAATGTGTTCAACAAACATACAACTCCCATGCGAGGTCTTGAAGATGATTCATCACTACTCAAACACGACCTGCTCAACTCGAAGGATTTTGCCTTTGCTCTGCCTATCTCCTCTAGTTGGTAAAAAGTCGTAAGGGCATTAAGCACCTCTTTTAGTTGCAAGCATTCCAACAATTAGATGCTTTCCACCACACAAAAGGCATATGTCAGACTTCAGGACATTCCCTCTGGATCTATATACCATTGAAGAACCTTTCTTCTTTAGGCCCTTCCATCTACAAGCTTTCGAAGATCCCTTCTCCGATGCGAACTAATTTTTCTTTGTTGTCTCTACAGAGCAATCTATGAGTCGTTTCGCCTCAACGATTGCGCACCTGCTAGCTCACGGACATTTCAACGATGCAACTCCTATTGAGCCCACAATTTCAGACCATCGAGGAAGCAAAAAAGTTTGTCTTTCTCGGACATGCCTTGGATATCTAGCATCAATACAGAAACCTACTTCATATAGTTCCGGATGGTAGAGGTCTGACGAAGTTGCTGCAACTTCCGCCGTGCAACGAACTTTATGTTCTCTCGCATGAACTGAGTTCGCAGTTCCTTCTTCAAGGTTTGCCAACTATCGATGTTACAACGACCTTATTGCATTTCTTCCTACCGTGTGCACCACCAAAGTTTTGCATCACTGAAGACAAACATCATCACTAACGACACCTTGGCATCCTCTAATTCAGGTTGGGTCACTCTGAAGTACTATTCCAAATCGAAGATAAAGTTTTCTAACTCCTTGGCATCTCGAGCACCCCATAGCTTTGTGGCTCGGGAGCCCTTAATCTCAATGAAAGATGGCTACGAGACATTCCTCCGCTCGCATACGTAACTTGCATGAATACCGACACTTAAGCCGTCAAGTCCCTTGCCCTTATAAGTATTGCACAGACTCTCATGTCATTTGATAACCTTTTGATTTAGACCTCCAGCTGATCTGGTCAGGATTCCAACCTTGTTTGCAAGGACTCTACCATATCAAGAAGCTCCCCGCTTTTGTAGAGATCCGTCAAGTTTCGATTAACAAGGTCGAGCAGCAACTCCAACTCGATGACTCTTTCTTTGTTGTCTCTATATCGTTCAGGCTACCCTTCAATTCTTGCCTCTTCTGCGTGAGAGAACTCTTGCGCTATAGGAACATCACCACAAATGCCACGTTCCACTTGAGCGGCTTTGCTAATTTCCGCACAAGTGGTCACGTATTGCTATTGCCTATTATGTACAACAGTACTAGTTTTGCCACATTGCCCTGCATGGCAATTCGATGATTGAATTACCTGCTCTGATACTACTCTATCACATCTTTAGTTAGGATTGCCTAAGGCATGTGGCACCCAAGTGATATGCGTTCGCAAGAGTTAGCCTAGACCTTAACCTCGTGCAGTCCACAAAGGACTTGCACAA